GGACCCGCGGCTGAGTCCCGCGCACTCAGCTGAGCCTCAGGCCGGTTGTGCCCGTTTCAGGCGCCATTTGTGGCCCGTGTGTCCCGCTTCTGCAGCACCACCGACGGCAGAGACTTCGGCGGGCGCGTTTTTGAAGCATGCCAGTCTTCTGTTAGGCCTGTCACAGAGGCCGGTGTCCCACCAGCACGGACCCTTCAGGGGTGCAGCGTTTCCGCTGGCTGTCCCTGCCAGAAAGCCGTGTTGCCTGCCTGCGAGCACCTCTCTTTTCTGAGGTAGCCAAAACTGAAAAGCAAACCTCAAAAAGTCTCTTAATCATAAAAACACTGAAGAACTACATCTTGGACTTGATGGGCCATCCCATATGGAAATGTTGTCCTGTAGCTATGATCTTGTCACCGTTAATTTTCTGTACTTGAAAGGTTTGCTCTACTCGTGGTGAGTTTTAGCTCATCAACTAAAACCAGCAAATGAAAATTAAAAAACAAAGTTAAACAGCAAAATTTACTGTCACTTTCTAACGTTCAGTGCTATCTGAACACATAACAGCTGTATATAACAGCTCCCAGAAATGATACATGAGGCAAGTTGAGATTGTTTTTTACAGTGGCTTTCATCATACAATCTGCAGCTCCCTTTAAGTCTCTGGCATACATCTAGCACATCCATGAAAAATAATCAAGGACAGCATGACCATCAGCAGGGCTAAATTTTGTATGAAGAGCTTACAGTGTAACTGGGAATGTCTGGGGCTCTGCAAATCAGAACCATCTGTGTAGTGCAGATGAGTGAAATGTCCATAGTTTTTTGGGGTAGCTGTAAGTACAAACCAAAACACAGTTTAGTTGTCACGTGATTATAAATGAAAGTCTCCTGATTTTTCCTCCTCTTTTTTTCTTAATACATACGTTTCCCCGAGTCTTTTGCTACTGGCTGCTCCTAACCCTTTGTCTGTGTTACAACTGTGGTGTCCTCGCAGGCTTCCTGCTGCAGTTCGGGCTGTTCCTTTCTCTTGTTAGTACCACATTCCCCCCCCAGTGTTGCTCATTTGAGCTGTACATTTCTTGGCACACCAAGCAGTAACAGAACAGTTTCTGGTGGCTTCTGTGTTAAATAGCTACAACCTCAAGGATCCTCAATAATGGAAAACTGCAAAGATTGTTAAGAATGTGGACCCTTCTTAGGATATTTTTAGTTCAGATGTGCACAGAGAATGAAATGGCTTTTACGTTCCCTAGATGGAGGTTTGTGTGTGACCACCCATGCACAGTGCAGTCCAACAAAGTGCTCTGTGACTCCTGGGAGGCAGCAGGAGCTGTGAAGTTCAGGGAGCTCCTTGACACCTGACTTTTGGGCAGAGAGGCTCCAAATATGGAAACATGGCATAAAGCAGCCAGCCATCATAAATAACTTCTTTCTTGTATTTCAGTATACCTACAGAAAATTAGCAGTTGCTGCCACACCTTTATTGGTTTTAAGCTGATGTGGATTTAGGGAAAAAAGATGGAGGTGTGGAGGCTCTCCAGGTGCCCTGATCAAATTTCTGCTTTTTTAACATTCAGGTGCCTGTGCTTTCAACTAAAGCTAACTGACAGGGCATAGTAGGAATTTAGCTGTTTTAGCAGACAATAGATGTTTCCACAGCATTTACCCAGGTACTTTATTTTCACAAAAACATACTGCTAGCATGTTTGGGCAGTGGAGATAAGATTCCAAGTTAGAGCAAGTGCAAGAGATTTAACTTACTATACTCTCTCAAGACGTATAGTGATATGTGAGGCCACCCAAAAAAATACGCATTTTTAGAGTTCTTCAGGTGTGTTAGCTTCACTTACAAATACCCCTCAAAACAGTTAGCAAATTGGTCAGCTGTGTGGATGCTAAAATTATTTGGATACAGCTTATGTTTTGCTGCAGAAGTACAATACTAGAACTCCAATAATAGCAGTTTCTTCTGAAAGACAGGCCAGTCATCCACATGTCTAGTCGTTGACTTTTGTTCTAAACTTAAACTTTTTCCCCATCTCTTTTTTTTTCCCTTTTTTTTTCCCTTTTTTTTTTTTTCCCCTTTCCTTGGTATTAAATATCTATTTATGTTTTTCAGCTTCCCGTCACCAGTGTTTCTTGGCATTGGACAGGTATGTTCACAAGTGAAGCATCCTAAAAGTACTCATTATTTTATAAGCTAAACTCATGTTAGAATGGAGATAAATTTTTTGGAGGGGGGGAATCTTGCACTGCACTGCTCATCTTATGGATCATATACGCTGTAAGGAAGAATGATATGTTTTAGTGAAATCAAGGAAGTGGCAGCTCAGGTTAAAACTATTGACTTGAGTCATGTGAAGTACTGGAAATGCCATTTATTTCCTCTTCTAGAGTTCAGTAATTAAGAGATCTGGACTTCAAATCTGTAAAGATTTGTTCTAGGAAGTGCATAGATCCTATGAGAGTCCTTGGGCATTTGTGGATTATATATGGAGATGCTCCCCTGACAAACTGTGTGTTTCCTC